TTCTAGGTTAGGCACTGAGTTCTTCGTGTTCGATATCAGAGACCTTGAAAAGTTATAGTCCGATCACGACAATTTTTCCGCAAGGGATACCACAGCTCAAATACCGTACTTGTGTAAAGTTTTATTCCGCTATCATCATTGATTCCTAAGTATATATAATATTATACAGAGAAGGCATCAGATGGAATTCAAAATAGACTTATATTGGAAGAAGACGTGGTTATGAACCGATTTCACCCATTTTTACATGTCATCATGGTGTTAAGAAAATATTATATACCGAATTTCATTGGAACCGGTCCAGTAGATCCTGAAATATGGTTTTTGGTCCATAAGTGGGCGACGCCACTCCCATTTTCAATTTTTAACAAAAGCCTGGGTGCAGCTTCCTTCTGCCATTTCTTGCGTAAAATTTAGTGTCTCTGACGTTTTTTGTTAGTCGGTTAACACACTGTTAAGTGGGCGCGGTTATTATTCGATGCCTTCCATTTTTTAACTGTATATGGAAATGCCTGAAGGAAACGATTCTAGAGTTTGGTTGACATAGCTATAGTAGTTTCCGAGATATGTACAAAAAACTTAGTAGGGGGCGGGGCCACGCCCACTATTCCAAAAAAATTACGTCCAAATATGACCCTCCCTAATGCGATCCTTTGTACCAAAATTCACTTGAAATCGGTTGAGTAGTTCCTGAGATATGGTTTTTGGTCCATAAGTGGGCGACGCCAAGGATATTTTCAATTTAAAAAAAGCCTTGGTGCAGCTTCCTTCTGCCATTTCTTCCGTAAAATTTAGTGTTTCTGACGTTCTGACGTGGTTATTATCCGATTAGGAGGCGGGGTTACACCCACTTTTCCAAATAAAATTACGTCCAAATATGACCCTCCCTAATGCAATCCTTTGTGCCAAATTTCACTTCAATATCTTTATTTATGGCTTAGTTATGACACTTTGTAGGTTTTCGGTTTTCGCCATTTTGTGGGCGTGGCAGTGAGCCGATTTTGCCCATCCTCGAACTTAACCTTCTTATGGAGCCAAGAAATACGTATACCAAGTTTCATAATGATATCTCAATTTTCACTCAAGTTGCAGCCTGCACGGACGGACGGATAGACATCCGGATTTCAACTCTACTCGTCACCCTGATCACTTTGGTATATATGACCCTATATCTGATTCTTTTAGTTTTAGAACTTACAAACAACCGTTATGTGAAAAAAACTATAATACTCGGCCTTAGCAACTTTGTTGCGAGAGTATAAAAAGTGAAAAATTTAGTGATACATAAAGAAATAACTTGTGGTTTTAGTGTAAATTTTTGAATTTTTATACGTGAATATTTTATAAAATATTAGTTATATTGTTTTTGGATATTCCTCCGGGTAAAATTTAGAATTGCATCCCCGGATTTCGTGGATAAAATGTGTGTCACTGGAAAGGTGACGTTCTCCAGATCACGAAAATATATATATATAGTTGCCGCTGACTTATAGTTTTAAAGATATTTGCATTTAAAATTCAAAAATTCAACACTTAAATTGATCATTTATATTATGCACTTTTCACTTACTAACACTTCACTATAATGTTTAGAGTATATTAATTTTTTTAATATTTATTGCAAATAAAGCTTTAATTTAAATATTTGTTTTAGTTAAATTCACTGCATTTGCTCGAGATTAGGGTTGCGTACTTCCCAAAAAAATGGTATTGCCATATCTACCTAGTTGTCAACGAAAGAAAATAAGCAAAAACTTTATACCCCAAATACATAAATGGAAAACTCCAAAAATATTTAGCAATTTTTTGTATGGCAGAAAAAAAGTTTCAGAAAGGAGTTCTACGCGAAAAAACTCTCAACACCCCGGTGTTGGATCGGTCAGGCTTATTTTTTTTTTAAAGCGCCACCGAAGGCCGCTAGTACAGAAAGAAGTTCTACGCCAAAGAACTCTGAACACCCGGAGTTTTCCATTTATGTATTTGGGGTATAAAGTTTTCGCTTATTTTCTTTTGTTGACAATTTTTTTGCTAGTATGCAACCCTAGGCTTGTGCAAATGCAGTGAACTTAACTGAAACAAAATAATTAAAATAAAGTTTTATTTGCAATAAATATTACAAAAATTAATATACAAAAACGTTATTGTGGAGTGTTAGTAAGTGAAAAGTGCATAATATAAGTGAAAAAGTTATTCACAATATACACATTATCAATTTAATAGTTGTAATTTTTTGGCTTTAAATGCAAATATCTTTAAAACTATAAGTCGGCGGCAACTATATATATATAGTTATATATTTTCGTGATCTGGAGAACGTCACCTTTCCAGTGATACCCATTTTACCCACGAAATCCCAGCCATTCCTCCTCTGGAGAACCTCCCCTATCCGTACATACCCCATTTATACGGAAATTATGTTTTTTTACCCCTCCGACAAAGTAATCGGAATCGTGCTCATCACACATTTAATGCACTTAGTTATGACGTCATAATCTTTCTTCTTTCTTATTTTTACTCCATTAAAAAATGTGGTAACACTAATTTTTTGATTGTATACAACCACTTCTTATTTTATGAATAAATGGGTTTTAACTAAAGTTAGATATGGAATTAAAATTATTTTTTCACTATTTAATATAAAATAAGTGATGAGAAATAAATTAGTGTAGTGTTAGTGGATATAAAATATAAGTGTAAAATGCATTATGAATCGGAAAAACACGCATTTTAAATAGTTGATTTTTTGAACTTTAAATGCAAATATCTCAAAAACCATAAGTCAGCGGCAACTATATGTACATATATATATTCTTGATCTGGAGGACCTCCTCTATTCGAACATACCCATTTTAACCCCGAAATCCGTGGATGCTATTCTAAATTGCAGCCTTTTTATCCATACACGAAAGTCCAAGTATTTCAAATCTTACAATGCCACTGACAGTCCGCATATCCCCTTACAATATTTTTATTTAGAGAATCATCATTTCCGTACACTTTTATTAATACATATTTAAAGACTCCTTCCTCAATATCTACACTTGGAACTGCTTCTAATTTAGCACCAGCCATTTTACAAAGCTTTCGAAAATCTTTAATGAATTAAAAAGTTATAGAATACAATTGGAATACAATAGAAAACAACTTACTTAATCCAATCGCCGAACTATACATTCCAAATTGGGAAATCTATCGATGGAGTAATGACCCATTCACATACACCTTTCTTGCTTTGCTTGACAAATCATGTGTGGAATACAATGCTCGCGATAGACTGCAAACGACATCTGTCAAATGTTAAAATACACACGTTCTTACCGACGGAACGGACGGCCGACAGTTGACGTTCTCGCTAACTTCAATTTAATCCTATATTTGCCAACGACAGTAGGACGACAGTAGAGTTGACAGTAGAATGGAAGATAGAGAGATGAGGAAGAGTGGTGATGCCACTAATATATAATGTATGTATAATGTAAAATTACTCAAAGCTGACGTTATTTTACAAATAAAAGCATAAAATAGCTCTGTTTCATCATTTATAATAACAATTGATAATTCAAAACACATAAATTTACCTATTTACTTATTTGTTGCTTAGAAATTTCACTTTGAACAAAATATTAAAATTTCATTAAAGTGCAAAGTACTAGTATGGCCACAACGAAATTGTGTACTTGCAAAAGGGACAACTGAGTTGTTTTGTGTACATGCCGGCCATTGTTATGTTGCTGCCCTCTCACAAACGTTCTTGTAGTAGGATTCACAACGCCATTTTCAGTTCACTGTCGTGCTGCTGCAGTCTGTCGCTAGCATTGTGTTCCACACATCATACCAGGATAAGACTTTATCTGGACAGGCTAAAGTTTATGGCATACTAACTGTCAAATCTATTGCCTTTGCCAAATCTGTAATGTATGCCAAATTGCATTTGTGATCATAACATAATCACTTGCAAAAAGGCGTTGGGTAGGTAGATTCGAGCAGATGTAGCGCATGTTTTAAGCTCTTGAACTGTTTAAATTTTTATATCGATGAATAAAATTGATGTGGAAAATAAAAAAGAGGTGTTTGAGAGGGGTGGGTGGCCGTATATTGGATATATCGGGGTCTATTTTGCACAAGTAGAAGTTTAACCTGCAACAGTATCCAGAACGAAGCTGAGCAAGGGTCACTCGCTTTTGTCGCTGCAACTCGATCTCTTTGTCTGCGATGGGTGGTAATTTAACTCCAGGAACGTTATTCACGGTAAGGGAGTTGTTGTTGTTATCAGTCCCCGTTAGGATGGTGAGGGTTATCAGTGTTGTCGTCGATGTCATCTAACGGGAGGACCAGCAAACGTGCTCTTTCGACGCGGTCGGACCAAAGGGAAAAGGGTGTTAGATGGGTGGGGTTGTTTGGGCATGCAAAGAGGTGGTCAGTGTCATGCTGAGACTCGTTGCATGCAGGACATACGKTGGGTATGTCAGAATCTATTCTCGATAAGTAGGAGTTTAATCTGTTACCACATCCACAGCGAAGTTGCGCAAGGATCACTGGTGAAGGATGATTTCTACTGGGAGCATAAGCATAAGCGTCTCACTGCGGAGGTGTTCTATGGCAGACATCAAACGGCATCCCGTCGTGGTCCGGAGTGCAGTATTCTGGCAGGTCTGTAGTTTCCTCATCTGCGTGCCACKGCATCCAGGCGACCATATGGGTGCTGCATAGTTAAGGACCGGCCGGYCGATTGCCTTGTAAGTTGCCAACAACGTTTCTTTGTCTTTTCCCCATGTGCTACCGGCTAGCGACTTGAGAATTTTGTTGCGGCTCTGTACCCTTGCGATAATCACGGTCGYATGTGGAGAGAAGTAGCATTGACTGTCGAAGGTGACACCTAAAATCTTATTGTTATTGATAGTCGGAATTTTGACGCCGTCGACTTCAATATTAAGTTCCAGTCTATACTCCTTCGTCCAGTTCGTGAATATGGTCGCTGTTGGATTTGTGGTGCAGTGAGGAAACGAGAAAGGTCGGAGAGGTAGTTGTTTACCTTCGAACACATACCATCGATTCCATTGCCCGACGTCAATATCGACCGTGCACATAGTTCATGGTCCACCTCTTGAGCCCTGAAGGAAGCGTGGTTTTTTCAATGTCCTGCAGTAGCGTTGTGTGGTTGACCGTGGCAAAAGCTTTTGACAGGTCCAACGCTACGAGGATCSTTCTCTCACAGGGTGGTTTCTGGTTGAGGACACGAACTATCTGAGCGTTTTGACGCTAAGTGCTGTGTTGGTACTGTGCATTTTACGGAATCCATGCTGGTGGCTGGCTAGACTCAGGTGGTGAGTGAAGGTCGGGAGTAACAAGGCTTCAAGTGTCTTCACTACTGGGGAGAGGAGAGTTATCGGACGATAAGATTCCCCKTTGTTGGCGGGTTTCCCAGGTTTCAGTAGTGGRACCACTCTTCCKACYTTCCACACATCGGGTATTTGAAGAGTGGTCAGCGAGAGATTGAGAACCTTGGTGAGATATCTTACTCCCGTCGAGCCTAGATGCTTTAGCATTAGCATGTTGATTCCATCAGGGTCAATGGATTTGGAAGATTTAGCTTTGTTGATGACACCCTGAACCTCCTCATCGGTGAAAGTAAGTGGCGCGCCGTCRTTTGGCATTTTGCGCAGCCGTCGGTTAACACATCGTTTGTCTTTGTCTACTGAAGGGTGCAGTGTAAACTGCCAGCTAAAATAGCCCGCACACTTCTTCGGGTCCGAAGAGGCATGACCATAGAAATGAACTTCAACTCGGTCGTCGGGACTCTTCGGGTTAGACAAAGCTTTGACAATAGCCCAAGGCTTACTCACACCGGTGGAGAGGTTACAGGACTTCAGGTGATCTACTCATTTCGTCCGCTTATAATTGTTTACCATACGTGGAATCTCCAAATTGAGATCCCTTATTCTTGGATCTCCGAGATCGGCATGGCGTAAGCTGTAGCGCTCGTTAGCTAAAACGGCTGGGTCAGATTTCCGCTATTATTCCCGCTGGGATGAAGCGAGCGGTAGCTGCTGCGATCACCTTGCGGAATTGACGTTCGCCGCATTGAAGGTGCTCTCAGTAAATTCTGTGAAGCCGACCCAGTTAGCTTTGTTAAAGTTAACGAACGAACGCAGGTTTCTCGATCGAGATAATTATGGGCAGATGGTCTGATGCGAGARTTRGCATRGGTCGCCAGGTTATGCYATTTATCAGACCACCACTAGCGATTGTAATATCGGGCGAGCTACTACAAGTGCCCATAACTTTGGTGGGGGCTTCGGCATTCATTGCACAGAATGTCGAATTGTCAATCTGTTCCGCCAGCTCCATCCCCCACGGGATATTGAATATTTACTATACGGGAAGGGAGTCGGTGAAGGTGTTGATGGCTCCACTGCGAAGGGTGGTCAGTACCTGGCGGGAGTTAGTTGCGTCCGATGTCCGGTCGACGTATTGTTCGATATCATCGACGTAGTTAAGGAAAGACCTCCTAATATTCCTAAGAGGCGGTTCCGCTCCAAGCAGGTGGCTGCAAGGTTGATATCTTCGAAAAAATCTTAGCAGGAACTGCTTTGAGAGGAGTTCATTATGCTCCTTACCTGGGAGCATAAGCGTCTCACTATGTAGATGTTCGATAAGAGACATCAAGAGTAATCCTGGCGTATTCCGGATTGCAGTGTTCTGCCAGGTCTGAAGTTTCCTAATCTGTGGACCACTGCATCCAGGCGACCATATTGGTGCGGTCTAATTGAGGCCTATTGACTTGTATGTTACCAACAACGTTTCTTTGTCTTTTCCCAATGTGCTGCCGGCTACCGATTTGAAGATCTTGTTGCGGGTCTGTACCTTGGCAACAATCGCGGTCGTATGAGGAGTGAAGGAGCATAGACTGTCAAAAGTCACACCTAAATTAGATTAGATAAATGAGTGAGGATTGCACCGCGTTCCAGGGTCTATTGTGCCCTCTCCTATCTCACAAGGTCTCAACTAGCCCCAGCAAATTGATGAATKCCAATATACTGCTAGATGCTAATGAGGCGATGTAATCCCTATTTGGAAACATGGATCCAAGGGCCTTAATCCTGCGTCTATAGCCTTCTGTGCAATCCATTAGCAGGTTTCCTGGAGTTTCAGACTCCAAGTCGCAGAACCTGCAATTTGCACAAGAGGTTAGGCCCATGTTGAATAAGTGCTTCTTGAGTTTGTTGGTGAATGTTGCCGAGCGGGCAAGCTCATCGGCCAGTTCGTTTCCGGCGATGCCTTTGTGACCTGGCACCCAAATAAGGTGCACTTGGTTGCATGCTGCCAGGCTATTCAGCCGTTCTATACACTCCTGCACCAAAAGTGATTTTATCTCGTATGGCGAAATCGCTTTGAGTGCGCTTAGTATAGCTATACGTTCGTTGCGATAGCCGCGTTAGGGGTTTAACTCTACGCACCGACTTATAGCAAATAGCTCTGCTTGGAATATGCTCGGAAACCTATCCATAGGTATGAAGAGTCTTGCACGTGGTCCTGCGACCCCTGCACCGAGTCTGTGTACCATCTGATTGTGCTATCCCTGAGTAGCAGCTCGAGAGCGGAGTCGCTCCATTCGGACTTGCTGCTGAGGCTGATCTTAAACTTTTTAGTGAAGTTCACCTTTTTGGTGATGCTGTCCCTTGGAAGGAGAGCCAGTGGTATGACGCCACTTAGCTCTTCCATACGTTGGGACGAGATTACTTTACCTTTGCCAGTTTCTTTGAAGCAATTGTGTCCTTGGCGACTTGAACCAATTACTAGGTGTAGCGGGGTGAGCTCCGGCAAAGCCTCAAGTGCCGCTGTCGGGCAGGTGCGTATAGCTCCTGACGGAGCCCAGACGCTCCATAAGAAATAATTAGTCACACTATCATTGTTTGCAACCATTTGATAATCTTTGGTTTACACMMCAGGATTTATCATACAGTCGATTGCACACATCAATGCCTTTGTGGCTTTGACCATGGTCAGGTCAGCACGCTGCTTCCATTTCAGCGTGGAATCCAAAGTGAGACCCAGGTATTGACCATATTCATCAAGTCTGTCTCTCTGCCTTCGAGTGTTAGGTTTCTTGGTCGTCTTCAAGAAGTTGATGTTTAGTCCAACTCTGTTACACCAACCCTTGGCGAGGCCTAGTCAACTTTGTACGATATCGTAGAGAGTACTCTCAAATGTAGCTCTGGCTATGATAACAATGTCGTCCGCATATCCTTGGCAGCGGATTCCATTATTTGTTAGCAGCACAATTAGTTCGTCCACGACTAGGCTCCACAACAGGGGGGATAGCACACTCTAGGTGCCACATTTCTTTTCTCCAGTGCCCT